AAAAAGAAAAAAAGAACAAAAAACCTTTATTCAGAATCAGAAAGTTTGATGCTGGCAATAGCTTTCAAATGTCTAAATAACATTTTGGAGAACTAACCTGTCTTCTGAGAAAAGCTACCTTATCAGAGTGAAAAAGCACACATTATTGTTTCTTAACTTGAGATGGCCATGACTTTGGAAAAGAAATAAATACGAAACTCTTAGAGCACAGACTGGGAAAAGATTTGCATGTTCGTTTGTTTGCTTATCTTGTTACGTTATGTTTTCAATACACAAGAGAACGCATCTATCAAATATTTTTCCTCTTATTTCCTTTTTTCCTTGCTTTTCCTTCCCAAGATTTCACTATCGTATTCCCACTCAAAGGAAGCTCTGAAGCCAAAAGTCAGCCAGTGGTTTGGGTGTTTTTTTAGCATAAGTCAGCATATGAAGGCAGGTCAACCTGCATGCAGACGGCTGCATCCTTGTAAATCGTGGAGCTTTTAGCCTCTACCTCTTGGGCTTAGGCTGGGAGGATGGAGGGAGAGATCGTTCCAGATGGCACAAAAGGCATAAACAGAAGCAAAGAGGATAAAACCTGTTAAAGACAAACATAGAAAGTGGGTGCCCTCAGCAGACTTTGGTGATTTTGAAACTCTGAACTGGACCCTCCAAGGAAAAATAAGTGATTTTATCCCTTTCAGCTAACTAGGTGCACAACCATTTGCTTTCATATGGCCCACTTGCCACATTTCAAACAAGGACGGAGGTCTGCCCAGGGCCAGCTTAGCAGGGAACGAGGAAGGCATGTCAGTCTGTGGAAGCCACGGTACATAAAGGGGTGCTGCAGGGAGCAGCAGAGCCCCAGCCCTGCGAACTACTCTCCCCATTACGACTGAGCCAGGGTGGGGTGAGACACCCCGAGTCCCTTGGCACGAGCACCTCATGTCCCCAAGAAAGACTCAAGCTAAATCAGTGGACTTCTGTGGTCACTTGAAATATTCCACAATGCGTGTTTTTTCTGTGAGCAGTTTTGGTGTCAGTAGCCCTGTTGTCTGCTACTCAGAGAACAGAACAAATTTCTTGCTTTTAGGCGGGGATCTCTCTCTAGGACTCGTTTATGTTTCAGTGCAGGCTTGTGAACCAGGTTCAGTAGAGCGTGCTGGCTGCTGCTCGGGAGCGTGCTGGGTCTCTCAGTGCCCAGGCAGTTTCTGATGACCTGCCACTGCATGCTGACATTCGTGGTTGTTATTGTCATTCTCACCAGGAAGTGACAAATTTTTATGTAAGGTGCCAGGTCATTAAGTAACTCTGTCTTGGTTCAGTACCTTCATTTTTGTGCTGTGGTTGTTGGATACTTTCACAGGAAAAAGGTTTCTTATGAATTAATGACACTGAAACAGAACCTAATAAAGGAACTGCAATACACTGCATGACTGCACATTTTCTTTTTTTTTTAAGTCTGAGTCCTGCTGATCCTTCAATGCTTCAGGTTTTGTTCAAGCTCACATAAGTTACAACATGTAGGACTATAAACTGCAAATTGTGATATCTGCACATAATGACTCTATTTAAGTAGCCAAAATAATTACAAGGTTTTTATTCAGGAGTCATATCTTTCCATATAAGATAATATATGCTGGCTGTAGAATTCAAAATATAACAATAGAAGTTTTTCTGCTTTATAGTTGCTTCTTCTTCAGGAATATCAATGAGATAATTTTTAAGAGTTTGTGTGGTATTAAAAGCCTGACATTTTTAAAACACAGGTCAGGCTCTGAGTTGATCAAGCTGAGCGCTTCTTGCCTCTGGTTGCTGAAGTGAGAGTAGCAACAGTTTTGAGCATGTTCAGACTGAGGAGGAGTGTTTGGAGATGAAACAGGAGCTGTCATGGATTTTTTTTAGGCTGGTTTTAAAACCCTAGCAAGGTTTTAATGAGGGCAAAAACCCAGCTCTGCAGCTGGTAGGACTAGTCTAACATTTCATCTCGTGCTTATGGTAGACTGGATTCAGTCAGCCTCTTTGGATGGAGGCATTGCCACTGCTTCTTTTCATTCAGAGGCAGCTTCAATTTGCACCTTAGATAACCTGCAGCTTCTCAAAATGTGCGATTTAATGCTGCTTGTGTCTCTCCCAGAAGCCTGATAAATACCAGGAGAAAGGTAGTCACTGCATCCAGCCTCTAACAAAAATGATGGCAAAATTTTATAATAAAGGGAGAGAAGTTTTTGCTCTTAAAATTGCGTTGCTTTTGCAAAATAAGTGAGTGGGATACTTTACTGGCATGATACAAAATACGAGTAAAGTTTAACTGAGAAGTTACAATCACTGAAATAGGAGTAGGTGTGTCTAGTGGTACTGTCTTGGCTTTTTTTTATATTGTTCCCTTGAAAATTTGCAGCCTTCAAAGGAAGATAGTAAGTTTTTCGTCTATTTGTTGGGTTAGAGAGTAGGTCCTGTTTGGTTCTCAAGCACTTTTAATCACAGTTGAGTGAAATTTTTCATGTGAAACTTTTTTCAGGTTGAATTCAGACTTAGAACTTTCAAACATTTCATATATACAAATCAGTTCATAACTTACTTTGAATTCAATATAAACTGCTTTAGTTACAAAATTGCACAGTATCTTTTCAAATAAAAATTTGGTTTTGGCAATTGAAATAACTGCTTAGAAAGTCCCACCCTTATCCCTTTTTTAAAATTGCAAACCATGAGAATCAGAAGGAGATATACAGACTCTGTAAAACAAAACTTTTTAAAGGAACTGAAATAATAATTTCAAATTTTCCCTTGTGTGAAATATCTGATTTACTTTCATTACAGATTATAATGCCTTGAGAAATTTGAAGTAGCCATGAACTGGAAATAGATTTGTTACCAGCTTTGCTCTTCCACACTGTGTTGTTTCCTGAGCCCCTTGATAGTATTAGTGCATTGCTTATTATCTTTTTGAGCAAAGATTCTTCAACTCACATGTAGCTGATACCACTGGTTTTGTTCCTGCTTTCACTGGGTTGATGGAAAGATTTAAAACTTGTAACTACTATCTTATAAAGGTATTGTAGAACGGCAGGGACTGATCCTTCAGAGCAAGAATTTCAGCTAATGTATTTCAGAAGGCTTGAGCTGGAAATAATGGCATTACATACATTCACACCCCTTGAGGATTTGACCATCAGATACAGTCGTTAAACGGGTCTTAACATATTTATCCTGCTTATGTCAGAACTTGAATTGAAAATCACTTTGGGTAAATTGAACTAGTAATTTTTTGCAGTTGTCAAATGCAACCTTTGATTTAGCACAAAGTGTCTAAAAAAAAGAGTAGCTAGAGTGATCATCCGCTCTGAAGATTGACTTGATGAAAATGACATTGGGGACTTCCATCATGATGTGGATGCACAGATTTCCAGATCAGACATACTGACTTCAAGATTAAAACAAGATAGTGTGGGCACTTTTTTCCCTTTATCCTCCCCTTATTTGCCAGCCTAAGAAACTCAGCAAAAAGTCTGAAAATCTGGCTGGATTGTTCTGCATTAATCTCATTGCAAATCTGAGATATAAATGACTGACCCTGAAATTGGAATTTGGGAAAGGGCAAGATATGAATCTTTCTGCTATCTGTACTGACTTCTTGAAATTAATGGGATCAAAAAGCAGAACAAAAATTGACAGAAGTTGTTCCATGAGAAGTAGAACTGGTAGAGTTGGGTTTATGATTTATGTATGTCCGTTGTCCTCTCCTACTTTCCATTCCTCCGTCTTATGCCCTGTGGCCTTCCCAAAGACTAAAAAACACATAGGAAAACTAAAGATATAATCTGAAGGCTGTGCCATCCCAGTGGGTTCTGTTGTAGCTGGACAGCAGGATCAGAAGTTATCAGAGAGAGTTAATGAAGCTTATAACTCACAGCGGCATCAGAGGGAAGTGCAATTGTGAAGATTAAATATGCTTATTTTATTATGGCTTTAGAAGACTAATACAATGCAAGCAGACTGGAAAAATTCAACCCAAATTTCTAATACTAGAGACAAGATTGTGCCACTTCTGCCAGCTGTGGAATTTACCTCAGTGCATAAGCAGTCCTACCAGCAGTCAGCAGGGCTGCTGAAGTACTAACTTAGTATCTGACTTCAGATTAGATGGCAGAATACCATTTCATAAATTATTAATGAAGACTTTCAAATTACTCCTTTAATGCTTGGCATATTTATTATGCTTATAGCACTTCTAATACACATATGATGTATTTAATCATAATGTGTTGCTTCAAATAGGAGTAGTATTTAAGATAATTCATGTGTCTTCATGCCACTCAAGCTCACAGTTGAAATGGTTTCCTCCCAAGGTCATGAAGTATTTATGCTATTTGTATTCAAGCCTTAGTTAACTCTACTGATAAATGGTTAAAGAGAAGATCCTTTTATGTGGGTCTCCTCATCCCCATTTCTATCCTTTCCTGGAGCTCTGCAGGTGTGTTTCACATTCACGAGCATCTGAAACATGCCTGAGTTTTGCTTTTTTCCTAGCACATACCCTTTTCTTGGATCAAATCCATTGGTTCATTTCCCTTGAGCTGCTCTTTCAAATGCAGAAGGATAATGTTCAAATTTCAGGTAAAAACTATTTTAAGCCAAACGGGTTTCACAATTCATAAAATAGTTTTTGTTAAAGGTATTTTTTGTAGAAATATTTCTGACATGACTCAATTGCTGGGCTGTTATTAAAATGTTGTATTTTAGAAACAGTGACACTTCCACATGATCTCTTACGTCGTCTCTGTATTTGTAATCAGTTGCTGCTTTTATAAATGGTATGCAATGCACAGGAGAATTCGCACATCCTTTTCTGTTCATCACACTGGTCTGTGGACTATAAATGGAACAAAAGGATGAACTTCAATGGGCACTTGCCACTTTGCAAGATAAATATGTGTTGATGAGTTACAACTTTGCTGATATGTCTGAAGTAGTTTAAATAAAGACTGTGCCACATATATTTTTCTTGTTATTTTTAGAAGTCCAGCTCCAGTACGACCTGAAACTACGCCATCAACTGGCCCTACAGAAAAGCAGGAGATTAAAGTTTCTCGTGTGAGGAAGTTAACAAGGCAGTACAGTTTGTGAGTAACGTATAGCACTATCTTTATGTTTTTGCCTACTACAGCTGAAAATGAAGGGGGATGCTAATTATTGCTGTAGCTATGCCTTTGGAAAGGCATGAGTGCAATTACATGATAATGATCTTATACTGATACCATTCCTTTCATCACTGAGAATCTTTAAGCTTTTAAGACAAAATGAATTTGCCGTCCTTACGCAGTTGCTAACCCTCCGGATTGCAGGCCCTCTGCCTTTTTCTGAGCTTATAGGTTAGGAATTAAAAAACCTCTTCTCCACACAAAATGTCAAAGACCTGGTGTGAGCTGGAGCAAGCTGCTCTGTCTCCTTCATTACAACCCCATTTGCAAAATGAGGAAAACAGTCTTTTGTTGTCAGGTGGTCAAGCTGTGCTGTCAGCCATTCCCCCTCAGAAAGTGCTCCCTCTCTCCCTCTCTCTCTCTGATTATGCCACATGCAGAAATTGCTGAGCCTGCTACAGCTACAGCCAGCAAAGTTACATCTCTTAGTCCTGGCAAGAGCAATCTGTGCCTACAGGGCTTTGGCATCCCATTTACACCTAATTCATCCAATTTGAGAGTCTCTGGAGATGTGAGGTACTGAATAGGTGAATCAGTGTGTTGATTCGTCCTTCATATGAAAGGACAGACAAGGCCACAAGAAACTAGAGAAAAAAAGGCACAATTTCAGCATGAACTTATTAGAACAAGAACACCAATGCCATAATGAAGAAAGAAATATGTGTGGAAAATATCTACGTGGAATGGCAGCTGTTAGTCCCTCCAGCAATTTAACATTCTAGTGTCACTAAATGTATCGCAACATTAACAAAAGTTTTCCTGCTCGCCAAAAGGTTTCTAATCAATAAGTAGTCATTTTCTGTCTCACTGTTAAGAACACTGGCTTTTGTCATGGAAAAAAAGTAACAATCTACATCACCGAAACTGAAAAATTATTCAGGAGAAGAAGCGGAAGAATGAATCAAATTGAAACTAGGAGGAAAATGAGCAATTAGCCAAACTGGTGTTTTTCTAAGAGACCAAGGCTGGCACATGGGAACACACAGCCACAGCTTGGTGAGCAGGCCACATAACACGCTCTCTTTTACTATGATACGTCAACCAGTATGGTTTGAAATGAGATAGGAGATGGGAACTGGCAACTCAAGCTGAGAAGAGAACCCAGGTTCCTTTACTGCTCTCTAATCCTGAAGGTGATGTGTGACAGGGAACTTGGCAGTGTTCGTTAGGAGCAGTTTCCCAAGGCCTGAATGAAGCTTGCTCGCTCGCTCTGCCCAGCATAGCTCAGACATAAGTGCACTTTTCTTGAACGAGACACCACGTCAAGTATATCTTTTTCTATAAGCCAGAGGAAGGAATTCTCCTACATATTTCAAGATGTATCTGGTTTTTCAGATTTTTGTTTAATGCAGGGACTTGTAGATAGCATTCAGCAAAGGAAAAGGCCATAACACTGAGAGGACCAACTATCTGATGCCCTTCATATGGCAGGTAACGAATCATGGTGGCTGATCCTATTCTTTGAACACACTGATGTGTAAGCACAGGTTGCAGGTATAGTCACAGGTTTTGTATGCACTCTTGGAAAAGTTCTTGATTTAAGTTTTAACCTAAACAGTTTGTTAAACTGATCTTCAAATACCGCCACATGGCAAACAAAGAGAACAGTGTTATACTGCATAGGCAATTTTGATGTAAGGATACCTTGGTGATGTTATGTATGCAGAAGCAGAAAATTTCCCATGGGACCATCAAAGTAAGGTAGTAGGATACGTTGGTGTTGAAGACAGCAAGGCTAGTAAGAAATCAGATTTTAAGAATCTGGGTGAAAAAAATTGCTCTAGGATAGGTTAGGGTTGGAGAGGGTGTGTTTACCAATAAATAGGTGACAACCAAAGGAGAGGTATAGGTACTAGGACAGAGAATAATGAAAATAGGTACCACAGGGGGTCATCCCTGAAGCAGAATCAGCTATTCCTAGGTCATTCTTGTCTGAGAAAGCGTTTAGCCAACCTGTTCTTAAAGAGCAAAGAGAAAGTCTTTGGGCCAGAGACCGAGCACCTCCCTTTTCTGTACGTGAACAGTGAGCCAGTCCCCCAGAGCTGCTGAGCACCTGCAGAATGCGTGGCCCCATGCCTGAGAATGGCACTGAGGAAAGGAGGAGAGGGTAAATGAAAATGAGTGAGAGGTCGTCCTAGAGAGAAGGGAAAGGGTGCCGGGGACTCTGGGAGTAACGGTACCACAGAGAATTCAGTAGCGTCTGGGAAGAGCAGACCTTAGGAAGGCAAGAGATGAAGTGACAAATAGTGCAGTGGGAGGCAGGTGGAACAGAAAGGAAACTAGAGGCAGAGTTATGTGGTGGAAAAGGCAATGCTGTTATTACACACATAGAGAGGAGCATCATTTAAACACTATATTTTTAAAAAAATATATTTGTGTATTCAGGAGTGAATTCTCAATTTTTGGTTGGTGAGTTTTTGAGGAACCAGTTTTACACATGCTTTTCCCCCATGTGGATTTTCAGTTGTCCATTGTTAGGCATGAGGAACAGCACCTCAAGTGCACAGAAACGCATCTAACCGTGGGTGTCACCTATGCTATGGCCATGTGTAGGGCTGAAGACTCCACAGTTAAAAATATGGGCTGTGTTTTGGGGGGTTTTTTTGTAGACCCAATTTCTATTCAATTTAAATTATCTTGCTTCTGCACTGCAAATATGGGAAATGCAAAGAAATAGCAAAGATGCATTGTGAAAGGAATACAGCAGAGAAGACCAATTCTCAGACTTGTAGCTTGCATGCTAATAGCTCAATGACTGATAAGACTGGACCCTAACCCTTAGCTTTGGTTCCCAGACACTAGGAAGCCTTTCTGAACTGGCAAGTTCTCGACAATTTTCCACTTCCTTGTATGCAACAGAGCAGCTTTACCCAGCAAA